ATTTATGCATCCACAAAAGATAAGTGCTCAAGTAAACTTCAAACTTCTAACATGATTCTCTTGGGTTCCATAGAGAAAAATATAATCTTCATTATTTGAACACAAATCCAGATTTTGGGTTATATTTTACTTTCCTCTACTCTAGGTTCAAGATCTGTTGAAAGTGATCCTAAAAACAAACAAAACTGCATCCTATTCATTACCACAAGCATATTGTTTCCACTACTATTGGGCTAGGGAATATTTGAAATGTTTCCAATCATTTCCTTCTTAATAGAGAGGATATAAGAAATCATAAGTGGAAATAATTACTAGTAAAATTACTTGTGCATAGGTGATTCAAATAAAGGTCTTCTCCCAAATTAAATATCCCTTTTTTTTTAACTGAAGAACATAAGAATATAGACTTTGACAGGACTGAGAAAACAAATTAAAGCAAAAGTATTTCCTAGTCTGAGGTGTGCCTTATTGAGCCATTTTCATCTTTAATCTTAATATTTAAAAACTATATCAATTACTCAGTCAAAATCTCACTTTGGAACGTGTGTGTGTGTGTGTGTGTGTGTGTGTGTGTGTGCTTACCACACTCACATGGGTAAATTAAATACTCTGAAGTTCAAAATAATGGCTGTGGCTCTGATTTTTTAAAGGCTCTAACAATAGTTCTCAAACTCACGCAGATAAATATTTATAGAGCTTTTTAATCAATAGTTAAGAAATAAGATATAACAGACTTTACTAAACTAAGAGTATAGGTGAAGCACTAATCAGAGTGGTTTGTTTAGGTTTTACTATTTCATGTTCAAACTATACAAAAAATATAATAAAACAACTAATGTATATCTGTCACCATTCCCTAATAATTGGTAGCTAAAATGTTTTTAAATGTTTTTAATGAAGTACTTACTCTCCAACTTTATTCAGACTAGGTGCAGGACAAAGCACAGAATTCCCCTCCACACTTACTGGCTTTACACCTGGAAAATAAAATGCCATAGGCTTGGTAAAGGGTTTTATGAATCTGTTTTATTAATAATATGAAAGGCAAAGACAATCAGGGTTCAAGTATGGAACGTTAGATATACTAGCATGAAAAGACAGACACTCGTCTATAGAAAGAGGAGAAGAAAAAAGGAGTGAAAAATAGAAGTTGTATATTTCATTGATACATAGTATTGATAAATTATAAATCATGACATTTTTACTTAGACTAAATTCACATACATTTGTAGACTCTATGAAATTATCATCTCCCCACCCCCAATTTGTCAAATACCTTAGATTTTTTAAAATGGTATATATATATTTAAAAGCAGAATTTAGAAATGATGGGAAAACAAACGTGAATGTCCAAAAGAGAATGAATTTATTTCAAGAGTTTAATAAAACAGTTGTGTCTATAATATAAAATCTATATTTTATAAAGCTGCATGCTTAAGTTTCCCTTGTAATTTTAATAATATGTGAGGAAATGATCTAGACTATTAATATTCAAACATTACATGATCAAATGGATAATCCTAGAATGGGAATTATGAAAATACAATCTATCTCTACTTATTTGTTTGAATACTTACTTTAATAAACTTAATCTTATGTGGCCAAGTATAAAATATGTTTATAGTAAAATCAATTCAGCTATGTAATCAAAAGGAGTTAGATAAAGCTCATGCTTAGGTACAGAAGACTACTGAATAAAAATAAAATCATTTGTCCTCTTCAATTTTGGGACCTACGACATGGAGAATTTGTTAAAATATGTTATTATCTTGCCTTACCAAAATGATGATCTTAATAGAAAAGAAAGGAATTCATTAGGACATTTATCATGCTGAGATCATCACCACTTTAATTCAACAAACACATATTGAACACTTAGTTACTCTGTGTGTAGCCAAAGCTATGCTAATTGAAGTTTTTAGTACCATCAGATAAACAGCAAAATTGCAGATGAACCTCTCAAGAAATAATTTCACCAGAGTTCAGAGTTGTAGCATATGCCTTCCAGTATAAATTTTAGAAGACACTATAATCAATGAGGGAAAAATATCTTAACAGAAACCCAAAATACTCAGAATACCAAGATCATGTAAGTGGAGTATTTCTCAGAATGAAGATAAAAACATTATACTCATCTGCTTTTTTAAAAGCCAAGCTAGGAAAAATAAAACCTAATTCCATAAATATGATTATAATCAATAAACACTATGCTGGGTGGGCACTAGAGACATAAAATATAAGACAAAAAGCCTATCTCAAAAACCTAATTGACAAATTATTGGGAAATTGGAGAAAGAAAACAAGGGACAATAAGTAGTAGAGTAGTCCGAGTGAGATTTTCAAGCAAGAGTGATAAGAAATAAATCTAGAAAAAGAGGCAGTTAATCAAGCAGTTGATGCAGTCACCACAGAGTACAGACAGGAAAACTGGGTTTAACTCTGAGCTCTGCCCATTATTGACTGTGTCGCCGCTACAGGCAAGTTATTTGACTCTTTCAGCCACAAGACCATCATCTGTGTAATGAGGTTACTCAGAACAGCATCCAACATTTAAGCTATGAACAAACATTGCCTTCATTAAATAACAATTAAATAATTATTACTATTTCTATTATCATGGGACTTCATTTCCCTTTCCTTTGTTAAACAATATAGGACAGTTGGTTTCAGTTGGGGAAAGAGGAAAACATCTGACACTGACTTGCTCAGCAGGTATTAAAGCAACACAGGTTATGGGGACCTACTCTTGGTGTAGGTGTCATTCACTGTGTAGGTACAGAGAACACTGCCATCGCGACTGCCCAAGTTGAGTCCTCTTCCATTCAAAACGATTTGAAATTCCTCTAGAAGTAAAAAGAAAAATAAACATTTTAATCACTGCTTCCCCAAAAAAAAGATGTAATTTGAAAAATCAAGGTAGAAAGAATGAATTTCTTCACACTATTCAGCCAACTGATAACAAAGAAGACATGGCTCTATTTCCAACTCTCCGTGCTTTCTTAGACCTTTAGGGGAAAAGTGGAGATATGATCTACCACACAAACTTCCCCCAATTCTCTCCTTAGGAAAATATGAGAAGGAATAAAACCTCTTTTTTCCCCTCTATTTTCAAGTACTGAGGTTATGGGAACGTAAAGAACATTAGTGATTGCTGTGCTTTGGTTCTTAGAATTGTCATGTGTTGTGTTTTCTTTAATCGATGTATGACACGCCATACAGAGTTCTTTAACAGCTTCTTCATATTACTAATCCCACATTCACTTTTTGTTGCATACAAACTTATAACTCACTGGAGGTAAAGTATTTTGGACTACAGATAATCTCTGGCCAGTCACTAAAGAAAGTTGACTTAATTTATTGTACTCTATGTATATAAACAGGAGCAGTCACTTAAGATTAGAGAGTGAAATAACATGCTAGAAAAAAAAAGTTAACGTCTAAAATCTTGATTGGCAAATAAATGTGTGCTGCTTAGCTGCAAGATGATATATTATAACTGTTTTAATAGTGTTTGGCTCTCAATCCCCTTAGATACCTCCTATCTAACACATACATAATAGTAACTATGGAAGAAAATACTGCCATGCCACTGGCCATTAAGTGTGTTATAAAAGGAATTTTACTCACAAGTTAAAATAAAATGCAGGTAATAATTAAAATATGACTCAGTAGAAAGAGAACATGGGCCTTAGAGTCAGTCAGACAAAGGGGTCTAATAAGACAATTACTAATAGCAAATAGTAATTTTTCTCTGCCTCAGTTTCCCCATCTGTGAATCAGGAATTATAAAACTGCTGGGATGGCCCAATGCACTATTCCTCCTAAACATGTCAGTAATCGTTAGCTAAGGAGACTAGAAGGTACAGAACTCAACACCATGTCCTGCAGTTGGGAGGCCGATGGTCAACTTCACAGCACACTTCCTTCCCCACCAGACAAATTATTTTTCCTTTCCTAAGTAAAGTCTGGTTAAAATGAACTCCAGGCCAGACGTGAATGAGAAATAGAAAAGGCCAAAGAGACTCATGCTCTGGGTAAGGAAGGCTTTGATGTGTTAAAACCTGAGTCTGTACTTAGCACCAGCTAAAGAAGCCACCTGCTTCCTTCCTGCCATCGAGCCCTGAGTCACTTCCTTATGTGTCCTGAGCTGATGAATACTGGCCTTTGGGCTGGTTACCAAAGCATGGAGCTCAAACTCTACAGATCTATGACTATCTGTACAATCATATAAAAGACAAAATTTCATATTTCATTTTACTTGTCATGGGAAAGGTCTCAAACATGAACTAAATATACAGAAGACTCTAAAAGCCTGTCACACAATATGTTCATTATTTAAAATAACACTCCAGTCTTAAAAATTTGAATTTAAAATAGAAATATTTCAAGGAATTATTTAAAAATTCTTACAGACAAAGATGCCAAAAAAGTTAATTTTGCTATTCTCTTTCCAACATGCGTTTCAAATCATATATTTTAACTAGGAAAAAAATACATTTTCTTACATGGTATTTTTAAATTCTAACCACTTACCCCCCACACATACACTTGAGGGATACAATTCCAGGATTTCAGTGCATGACCGAGCTAGTATCTAAAAAGGAAACAGAGAAGACCAAGATATAGAACTCAATTTTAACATGTGAAGTGAATTATAAGACTACTAATAATCTTGAGTCCTCCCCTTAACTTCACCAGATTACAGAGAAAAATCTTTTAACTATCACATACACAGTTACCAAGCTCTTAGGAAATCTGTACTGTTTTTTCAGTATGTATTCTAAGGCTTTATTTTGTAAAGCCTCAATTCCTATGAGTGCTGATACTGCTTATATGTATCAGACATGACACTTGCAGAACACAGGCTCCTTGTATGAGCCAAATATTATTCTCAGAAACACAGACTCTTGTGCGCCACATTCCCAGGGCAAAGACACAGAATGGCTCTTCTTAGCTTGTCCTGAAAAATAGAAACCGCCATACAAGGCACAAGGCTACAAGTGAAAAACAACAATGATGAAATAGGCCGTTCTTAATGGACACAACAATCCTGTCTTTATTTTTAGAACTGCTCTGCACTACATTATCAAAGTCAGACAAACTCCAGATGATCTTTGCACAACATTCCTTTCTTGACGGGAGTTGAAAACAGATAATGCACGTACAGTGGTTTCTAGCATCTCCTGCTCATAACTAGAACAGGAAGGAAGGACTGTAGCAGGAAATAACATTTTCAGTGCTTTAACAACAGTGAAAATATAAACTGTCAGACTCTAAAAGTCAGCTGGTTCAACTGAGGGAATTCTGTTGCTGACTAAGCATCTCTGAATGGGGGCAACTGTTTTTAGACAGTTTCCCAGTGAAGCCACTTTTCACCTAGTGATTAGGAAACATATGTAGTAAATTTTTATATCTGAGAAATTCTAGATGAGGTCTATTTAAATGCAGAAAGGGATTGACCAAAGAGATTCCATAGCACCACAAAACTTTCCACACCCAAATAACTCCTCTGGGTCTGCTATTTTATCTTATCCACTGAGGAGGGAGTACCATTGTTTGATTAAGAATTGAGTTAAGCCTGGCCTGCATGGCTCAGTGGTTGAGCATTGACGTATGAACAGGAGATCACAGTTCAATTCCTGGTCAGGGCACATGCCCAGATTGCAGGGTCGATCCTCAGTGTGAGGCAGGCAGAAGGCAGCCAATCAATGACTCTCTCCCATCTTTGATGTTTATATTTCTCTCTCCCTCTCCCTTCCTCTCTGAAGTCAATAAAAATATTTTTTTTAAAAAAAAGAATTAAGAATTGAAGACTATTGTCAAAGGGTTAATGTGCACTCTAGTATGGGAAGTATCTTAAATCGCTAATATCTTTAAATATTTTGACATAATCCAGATAACAAGACTATAAAGGAAACAAAATATAAAGTTCTGCTAAAGGAATACAGAGCTAAAAATGTTCCAACTTAAAAAACAAAACAAAACACATTATAGCTTTAGCTTTGGTGGATCTGAAATGAAAGTGAGAACAGTGAGCCACCAAAATGGAAGGTCAAAGAAAAACACAAAGCCCTCAAATCTGTTTTCTCTGCCAGCAGTTCTGTAAGAACTTATTTTAAAACAGATCTTATTATGGACTTCACCAAGTTTACAATTTCTTTATTGGTTTTTAGCCACACCTCTGTTAGACTCACTGAAAAACGTTTCAAGCATCAAGGAGAAGTATGAGAGTAGTTTAAAGATTTAATGTATTGAAATAGAAATTTATTAAAAAATATTTCTTAGAACAAGGTAAATCAAAAAGTTGTAAAGAGATTTTACAAAGGCCATGTCAAAGAATATGTATACCAGAATGATCTGTGTGAATTTCTGAAATTATGTTGGTTTTCTCTCTCCTACCAAATTGACCACAATTAAACCAGATCTTGTAATATTTAAGACAAATGTGCATGTTGACTTCCACCTTTATTTAATGTAATTTATCAAAGCATTTTTCAAATGATAGTTTCAGTAACAAGATTAAATGAACAATTCTTGTAGAGCTCTCCTTACACTGAAGATTAAATACCTTCAAGTAACACTGATGGGTCTATATCTCTGAAACTAGACTCTCTTAATGCCCTGTGAAGTATTTGATTTTAAACAAAGAGTTCAGGATCATTTAGCAATTTGTGTTGCACTCAGATCTGAAATTTTTTTAAAAAATCAAGTTACATTAAGCAGGGATGAATATTTAAAGGTTGGTCATATCTTGCAGTAACTTGTAAAAATACATACTTATACATAGGAATACACAATGCATTTGAATTTACCACAGACCAACCTGCCTTTCTCTAAAGTATATTGTCATTTTTTAAAAATTTTTTAAAAATTACTGGTTTAATTTAAAAATTTCTATACTCTAAACTCTGAGTATAGAAATAGAATCACACTACACTTCTCAACCCTTTCTGGACTGGCACATTGGTTTTTACATGCAGTACAACCAATAAACACAGAACAAAGACTGAATGCATGAAGTAATGAGACTATGTATTAAGAACGTCTATCTAATAAGCAAAGCAACAATAATATTAGGACTAACATAAGGCAAAATAAAGTTAATTTATGTGAAAAAGCATCTCCCCTTCCAATCAATTGTGAATGTTGGAAAGCCAGGAACCCATAATTTGTAGCTAAGTTCACCAAAACCATTTCCAAATGAAAAATAACCAAAGACAAAGAGAGAATGTAGTTGGGAAAAAAGAGGAAGATGAAAGTATATAAATTCTTAGAAAGTAATATTTATCCTAACTTTGGTTTTTCTATCTGGAGTTTACCATATTCCTATTTGTTAGAAAACAACCAGAAGTTGAACTAATTTAATGTTTGTGTGCAAAAGTTTACATCATTGCATTTTTTAAATAATCAGTTAGATAAATACAAAATAGTTCATAACCTATTCCCACCAAGTAATTGCACAAGATCAAATGTTCAAGATTTCAAAATGAGTCTATTATTAAAATTGTCGTAACTAAATGACAATGGACAGAGAGGGACAAATATTTTAAACACTCTGGTTAATTTTTATCAAATCAAATACTGTTATTGATTGATTGAACATTGGACCAGGTGTCCCAATTGTCATAACTGATACATTATCTTTCATACTCTGTACTTCCATGATTTGTACAACAGATTTCTTGTAAGGTTATTTCTTCAAATATGTGTTTCTATCTGTCTTCATTATATCTCAATAGAAACAGAAAATAGTTTCAAATAAAGGTTGACATCAGAGAGAGACAATAGCACCATCAACCAAATTTAAAAACAAGCCAAATACCATTGATAAAATCAGGGCACTTGAAGCCTTGCACACACTACACGCAAAATTGCACAATTTGAGATTTTGGAATATAAAATATATATAAATTGACAATGAACTTAATGTTCATCATGAAAAGTACACTCCTGGATCAAAAGCATCAGTTCACTTAAAAAGTGATATTAGTACTAAGGAATATTTACAAATGCATGTAATATTTATATCATTACCTAATCCCTACTTTTAAACCCTCAAATATTAATGTGGATGACAACAGTCAACTTTCTAAATTGAATACAAATGTAACTAGTCAAAAATTCAAACAAATTACTAACAACGATAATCATAATTATCACTTTTTTTTTTTTGGTTGCACAATCATTATGTTCCAGAAACTGTGCTAGGCACTTTACTGAATTTCTTCAGCTAATCCTCCCAAGTCTTACGAATTCATACTATTTTTATAACCATTTTACAGATGAGAAAACTGGAGCTTATGGAGATTTTTAAAAGCTGCCCTGAATAACTAATTTTGAAAGAGTAGAGCCAGATTCATGTCTCATTGAGTCCAAGCCCATTCTTCTAACCAGTGCACTCTACTGCCCATTTTGACAGTCTAACCATTATAAAACCTAATATCTAACAAACTAGTGACATTTAGTTGCTTATTTTCCGGACTCCTTTATGTTATCAAAAACAATCTAAAATCTGGATTCTTTCCTATCTTCAAATGAATGTCACTAAACTTTGACTTTCATTTGTTGGGGATTTTACAGGTCTGTTTTGAAATTCCCAATACCACTGACTTTGAATAAATAAAAATTTTACATCATCCTCTGAATTAATAATATATAGGACACCCAAATTAATAGGGCTTGCTTTCTTTTTATTTAGTTTTTCTCTATTGTCTTTTACTGCTTTCTATTGCAAATTTGTGTTATACAGATAAAACACATATTTTTTTACTTCTCAGCATCATCCAGAACCTAAAAGGTTACCAGAGGTCCTGACTCTAGTTTGGGGACATAGCAAGCATTTGGAAAACTAAAATGAAACTGTTTAGAAAAATTAATTTGTTATTTGATCTAAGAAGACTTTTTGTTGTTTTTGTTGTTAATCCTCACCCAAGAATATTTTCCCATTGATTTTTAGAGTGGAAAAGAAGGGGAGAGACTGAGAGACAGAAACATCCATGTAAGAGAAACACATCAATTGGTTGCCTTCTTCACACATCCTGACCAGGGCCAGGGATCAAGCCTGCAATTGAGGTACATGCCCTTGACCAAAATCAAACCTGGGACCCTTCAGTCTACAGGCCGACACTCTATCCACTGAACCAAATCATCTTTTGTTTTTTCTTTCTTTTTTTTTCATAAAAGTAATGGCATCGATAGTATTTAGGTTTCATAGTTCAAAAACTGTAGAACTCACCTGAATCCTGGAAAAAGAAAGTGTATTCAGCGCTAGAAGGCATGGAGTTTCAATTTTCTTTTGTTTTTCTCTATTTTTTCTGGATGTGGAACTGAGTTCAGGCAAATTATTGATATAAAATAAGTTTGTCTTTGTCCCTTTCCACACCACAGTCTCACATAGACACTTCTTTTCTAAACACAATCACTACTGAGTTTGCCTTGCCTCCTAAAATATTCCATTTCAATGTAGCCATTCTCACTGCATAAACTCATTCATACTAATACAAGTCAGGCAAAAGTAGGTTTAAAGTTGTGAGTACAGGAAACAGAGTTTGTACTTGTATTATTACTTATTATTATATCATTTTCCATACAAAT